CAATTAATAAACTATACTCTTCAAAAGAGCTTGCATATTGCAGATAACTTTAATTGTCAAATTTTATTTACGGACATATTTAAATACACATGACACCTTCAACAAAAAAAATTATTCTGTACAATCCGGCTTGATCTTCATGTCAGCTTTGGTGACTGAATATTCCATTTCAGGCGTATGGTGACTCCACTGTGACCATCTTAAACCATCCTTAAGTTGGAAATCGCCGTTAAGGTTGGAATTACCGCAGTGAACTATGGGATACCACCAAGCTCCGAATTTCTTAGCGCACTGGTCCTCGTGCTCGTCTTTGTCCCTTGTTAAAAATCGAGCCTTGTTATTGTGATCAAAAGAATCACCGGCGTTTCCTTGAAAGTGAGAAAGAAAGAAATCGACAGAAAAAAACAGTGAAAAAAAAATTTTTTAAAGGTTTTTTGTAAGGTTTTTTGTAAAGTGAATTGTAGTTATCTTAGAGTAACAGATAATTTATTCGCATTGTAAAGTAAGTCGTATTTCAGCCGGCCCGGGGGCTGCAATGATTTTACTTCCTAATAAAGCTATCTATCTATCTATCTATCTATCTATCTATCTATCTAGCTAGGAATTTATCTGGCTCAGGGCCTCTATAGGGCCAGCAAGGAAAATAGAGCAAAAAAGGAAAGGTTGCTATTGTAGCTTAGGGCATTTTGAAATACTTTATTTTAATTTGATATATTTATATAGAAATGGATTGGAAATGCTAGACAAAAGGAAAAGATAAGTTCTGGAGTAGAATCAGCTCCAAAGCCAATTAAGATCCCAACGGGTTCACGTGGCCCACACTCCTACAACATGTTCTGTTCAGAGTATTTCAAGTCAGTTGAGAACCCTGATAATGTTTTCAATAATAATAATAATAATAATAATAATAATAATAATAAGACTTGAGCTGACAAAACAACACCCAGGATACAAGATCTCACAAGTAAACGTCATTATAGATGTACTTGGAGGATGGTCTACAGCCATGGAAACTAAAATGAAGGGCCTCTTTGGTACAAGATACAAAGAAATATTGCTGAGAATGCAGAAAGCTGTATTAAGTAGCACTCTGAACATTGCAAGAACATTTAAACTGGTTACAGCGTAAGAATTTTAATGACATTATGATTTGGTGTTTATGCATAGGATTTTATGGACATTTTAAGTTAAGGATATTTTAAGAACCGAACAGTAAATCATGAACATTNTCCATTACAGTTAATGGCTCGTCACAGATCCCTTTTGTTTGCAGATATCGATGAGTGCAGCGATAACAGCCATTTTAATTTTGTCATATGAATGCAGAGTGTACTAACACAAATGGCTCTTATAACAGTACTTGTAAGAATGGACACATTGAGGATAGACAGTCATACACACATACATACATACATACATACATACATACATACATACATACATAGGTTAATTGGCCACTCCCCATAGGGGCTTTTCAGGGCCAACACCCACCCATCCCACCCAGGGGAGGACATCCACCACACAGTAATCTCGTGCGTGGGAATTAACGTCTCCTACCCCTAACCCTGCAGGAGACAGGGCCTACGGTCTATTCGTCCTTATCCGAGAAGACTAGAATATGTATCCATTTCTTGATTATAGAAAGGTAGCAAATTCTCCTCACTTATTTTAAGACCATGAATATTGGTCCGCCCGGGCTAAATGTAAACAAAATGAAAACAAAAAGAAGTAAACAAAAGTAAATAAAATGGAAAAAAAATAAACATTACATACAGCTTTACATACCTCTTACTTTGTTGAGGGCCATCTAGACACCTTATTAACGAAGTGCGAGGGCCACACTAGGAGAATATTGGCCCGAGGTCTTGAAAGTGCAAAGAAAGTGCAGCGAGGTCTGTACAGAAAAGTCCAAGGACCAATATTCTCCCAGCACGACAGAAAAGGCTCTTACAGATAGATGCAAGCCAAGTTTATTGTTTCCCTTTGGACTTTGGCAAGCCATATCATTACAAAACTTAATTGCATGTGGGATCATTCAGGACGTTACCCGGTCCAATACTTAAAAATTATTGGACGGCCAATGGAGCAATCTGATTGTTTGATTTTAACTATTGGCCCTGACATATTGAGAGAAGTTAAATCGTATCATTATCACCAGCGTTCTTGATTTTAGGCAAGCGGCAGGAAAATGTGAAAAAGGAGCAGGTAAAATTGAAAAAGAACGCTTCGTTTTTAAACCATTCTAGTATTTTCTAACCACTATAAATGAAATGAACTGACCTAAGGTATCCAGAAGTCTGAACAGCTTTACTGTTGCGGTTCTGCACGTATGGCCATAGCTAACAGTGGCCTCATCTGCATACAAAGGAGAAAATACCCCCTCCTATTAAACTAAAGAAAGTAAGAAGTAGATAAAAGTACAGTTTAACCAGATATGTTACGCTAAAAGTAGCTAGAATACAACCGGCCCCAAAATATTCATACACACCTTCCATTGCTCAAGTACATGAAACTTGTTTCGATTGACATGTAGAGCTGTGCACATTCAACTCACAAGTACTGGCGAGGGCCTCAGTATTCACATCGTGTTGTAGCGATACTCTTTTGACAGTGCACACAGT